TGTTCCTCACCTAAAAATAGGCTAAAGCAAGAGAAAATCTTGTTTTTAAAATACAGAGAAGTTACTACAATTTGGAAAACTGTTCACACCAATATTTATAGTGTTCTTTGCTTTATTTCCTTATTTTATTTATAAAAAGCTACCCTTGGCTACAAGTTCTTGGGATATGATGTGATTAAAACATGGAGAGGGGCTTTCCTGGTGAACAGTGGTTAAGAACCCGCCTGCCAATGCAGGGGACACGGGTTCGATTCCTGGTCCAGGAAGATCCCACATGCCGCAGAGCAACTAAGCCCATGCGCCACAACTACTGAGCCTGCACTCTAGAGCCTGCAAACCACAACTGGTGATCCCGGGTGCCACAGCTACCGAGGCCCGCACGCCTAGCGCCCATGCACTGCAACGAAGAGTAGCCCCCGCTTGCCACAACTAGAGGAAGCTCATGCACAGCAACAAAGACCCAATGCAGCCAAAAATAAATAAATAAAATAAATAAAATTTTAAAATAAATTAATTAATTTTAAAAGGGTTTTTTTTTTTAAAAAACAACCAAAGAGCAATTTCCACCATCACTTCACCAGGTTAAAATGCTGAATTTTGTCTCACCTCCCAGAGTGAGCAAGAAGCCATGCCATCTTCAGTGTCTGTGATTTTTGTCCAGAACTCACAGACACTGGCCACTTAAACAGTGTTAGAAAAGCACCCCATCCTCTGTGCTGGGGCAGCATAGACTTCAGAGAGCCTCAGGATGGCCGTAGTGAGGGGAGGTCTTCATGCATTTGTGGGAAATCCAGGAGGAGAAATAGGCTGCTTTTCTTTGAAGTGTGTGTCTGACTGCTTCTTGGCAAGGCTTAACTTGGAAGCTGGTTGAGATCTTGGAAATCACGTGTTTCAACTCCCTCATTAAATAAATGAAGAAACTGAAGCTCAGTGAAATGATTTAGTGGCTTAACCAGGGAGCCCAGGTTTCCATACTGCAGGCCACTGACCTTTCCACTCTATTGTCAAAGCTTCTGAGCATGGGTTTTCCACTGCTGGTCTTCGTGTCAGAGAATTTCATAATTGCTCAAAGAATATTTCAGGTCTTTATTAGTCTCCTTAATTAAAGATACTTCTTTATAAAAAGTTAATTTACTTTACTGTAAACTCTCACCCACCTTTGTTAAACATCATGAACAGTTCATTGCCTTGGCAGTCTGTTTCAGAAGTCATTAGTGCTTTCCTGTCAAGTCAAATCATACAAAAATGCAGAAGGAGTTGCTATATTGGTTTTTTCTTTTTAAGATTTTTTTGATGTGGACCATTTTTAAAGTCTTTATTGAATTTGTTACAATATTGCTTCTGTTTTATGTTTTGGTTTTTTGTCCGTGAGGCATGTGGGATCTTAGCTCCCCAACCAGGGATTGAACCTGCAACCCCTGCATTGGAAGGTGGAGTCTTAACCACTGGACCGCCAAGGAAGTCCTACTATATTGGTTTTGAGTGCTGAGAGTAAATGTGTCATCCAGCAGTAAATCTCTTAGGTGCAGCTTTAGTATATGTGGCTCTTCATTTTTGTTATTGGCCTCTTAGATATGTAGCCACAAACCCAACTTTTAGCAAATAAAACAGTTGATGCCGTGGTTTTCTGTGTATTTTATTTATTTATTTATTTTTATAAATTTATTTATTTTTGGCTGCATTGGGTTTTCGTTGCTGCACATGGGCTTTCTCTAGTTGTGGTGAGTGGGGGCTACTATTCATTGTGGTGCATGGACTTGTCATTGTGGTGGCTTCTGTTGTTGCAGAACACGGGCTCTAGGCGTGCGGGCTTCAGTAGTTGTGGCACACGGGCTTCATTAGTTGTGGTTCATCGGCTCTAGAGTGCAGGCTCAGTAGTTGTGGCGCATGGGCTTAGTTGCTACGTGGGATGTGGGATCTTACCGGACCAGGAATCGAACCTGTGTCCCTTGCATTGGCAGGCGGATTCTTAACCACTGCGTCACCAGGGAAGCCCTCTATGTATTTTTATTTTATTTTATTTTTTTATCATCTTTTCTATATATTTTTAAATGGCTATTAAGTACAGCTTTATTTACAAATCTTGGGCTAAGATTAATTTGCATTATTAATCCTCATCCAGTTCTTCACAAGGGATGCGGATGGCGAGGGGCCAGGGCCAGATTGCTGGCCCTCCAGTATTCCAAATAGGTGTCAGTTGTGTCCAGTAACTTTTTTATGGGGACAGTGTTTAACATGAGCTTAAAAAGGCAGTTTTCTTGTGTCAGGGATCAGATTAACAGAGAACTTGTATAGACGTATTTACTGTCAAGTTCTTTGGCTTGAGAGCCAGATGATTGGTAGGTAGAATACCCAGAATTGCTAAAGGACTGGTTGTGTACTGGGTAGGTGAGTTGTCATTTTTCTGAGTTATTCACAGAGGCTCTTCGGTCCTAAGGACCATGCCTTACCATTATTTGGCATGTGCCTCAATCACTCAGGGTTTCAGAACCAGAAAAGTGATCCAGAAGTTCTGGGATTCCAGCCCCTACAAAAGGGGATGGAGTTTTCCTCTATTTTCTTATTTCTTACTTGAAGTATTGTTGATTTACAATTTATATTAGTTTCATGTGCACTATGAATCGCTATTTTCATAGCAATTCAACATTTTTATAGATGATACTCCATTTAAAGTTATTACAAAATAATGGCTGTATTTCCTTGTACTGCACACTATATGTTTATTGCTTATATATTTTACACATAGTAGTTTGTATCTCTTAATCTGAGTGATGGAATTTTTATAGCCTCCATTGGTGGTTTCTTTCATTCTTCATGTGCCTTTTCACTTGCTCTCTTGCATAAACTGAAGCCCTCTTAATTGTCATGTCTGGAAGAGGAGAGCAGCTACTCAGGATCTTTTTGAATAGCTTGAAAGCTAGATGTGATTCTCCCAGCACCTTCAGTCTACATCCTCACAGGTTGCACTTTGCATATATAGGCCAATTTGATAGCTCAAAAAATGAGGAGATGAAAGGCAGTCAGTGGGTATTGGAATAAATCCTTGCCAATGCAGAACGGTAAGAGTGCACTCACTGATTTTTTTTTTCCTTTGCCCTCCATCCACTATCTCACATTCTGGAAACTGTTTCATTCTTAGCTATCTGCTCCAGGCTAGGCCATCTCCTAAGTCAGTGGATTTTTTTTCACCCAGAGCATGAGATGTAACGATAGCTGTGTAAAGATACTGCAGATAAATGAGCTGAGGTTGTGGGGGAGGGTGAGTACCTCACCAACTGCTGTCTTCTATAGAAATCAAAGGCCTTCAGCCTTTCAGGGTCATAAACTAATTGTAACTGAGTCCATCAAGTGATTAGGCTATAAAAAATGAATTTAGGGGGCTTCCCTGGTGGCGCAGTGGTTGAGAGTCCGCCTGCCGATGCAGGGGACACGGGTTCGTGCCCCGGTCCGGGAAGATCCCACATGCCGTGGAGCGGATAGGCCCGTGAGCCATGGCAGCTGAGCCTGCGCGTCCGCTCCGCAACGGGAGAGGCCACAACAGTGAGAGGCCCGACCCCAAAAAAAAAAAAAAAAAAAAAAAAAAAAAAAATGAATTTAGGGTGGCCGAATCTCAAACACTGATTATCTAACCAGAACGCCAACTGGAATATCATATGTCTGCTTTTCAGGGCACTGTGATCCTGGTGTTAATGACACCTGCGACTTCATGTGTGTAATCCCAGGGTTTCTTGAGGGAGATGCGCTTAGATGAAGCAATGAGATCATCTTGAGGTTCTGTCTGGGTGGCAGTAGAACTGTATTTCCTCCACTGACCCAGCAGTGAGAGTACATATTCCTAGTTCCTAGAATACTTTGACCTGCTAGATACAGTATCTGTGACTCTCCTGACTTCTCTTTCTCCCCTTCTCCATCTCCTCTCCCTTCTCCATTCCCAGACCGTTCTTATTCTACATCTCCACTTGTTACTGTTACTGTCTCCATTCTAACCACCACTCTTTTGATTGTCCTGATTATCATAACATCTTCCCTCATTTCTAGATATTCATCTCCTGCTCAACTCCCAAGTTTCCAGATTGATGAGGGTGCTTCCTGCTGACC